ATGTATACATTTATACTTATTATCTTGTAAACAATTGGCAAATCAAATAAATAAATAAATAAATAAATAAGATGCAATTCCACCAGTTTAGCAATTGGGCAGACAAGCTGCCATAGAGTCACCTGGCCAGAGACAAGGAACATCTGTGGTATTAAGGAAGAGAAGAAAGCCAAGCTTTTGCTTGAAGTTATTTTGGTGAAAGATAAAGACAAGGTAATGGTAATAGAGAAAGCCAGGAGAGTTGGGACAAAAAGCCGAATGAGGAACATTGCCCATAGCACTCTCCAACAAATGAGCCAGACTTCTCATGGGGTGAAATATTTTTTTACTCTCTTCCAAAATAAAAGTAACTCCAAACCACCCACCCCATTCCTATTTGAATAATGGTAGAGTCCAGCAATCTTAGCACCCAACCAGGTGATTTCAAGTAGAACATTAAGGTAAGAGACTTTGAATCACAAAATCAGAAGGACACTAACAAACTGCATTAAAAGCTTATGCTTTGTAATCATTGTGTTAGTTATCAGACTCCTTTTGTTGATTGCACAAACTAAATATTCATTTTCTTTCATGGAACTCAGGATGACACAATTTAGCATCTGGGACAAGTCACATAATCAGGGGTGGGATGCTATCAGTTCAGACCGGATCTATAGAACCTGTAGCTGCGAAGAGCAGCTGACACCAAACAGGTTTGGTGTTTGGCCCATCCGCCTGCCCGGCCTCTAGGCTGTTCTTTATTCCCTGCTTTCCCTCTTCAGTTGCTTTGTGCTATACAGCTGAGGTTGAAAATGTATTGTATTAGCATACTCCAAACGCCCGAAACTGATTGGTCCCGACGGAGAGTGACCTGATTGGTCAAACCCTCGGCCGTGATTGGAGCGCTAAGAATCTACCGCGATTGGCTGTGCCGATCGCGGGAGATTCAAAGCGCTGCCATTGGCCGCCGAGCCGCGAGCCAGCCCTATATGAAGGGCTGCCGCGGCTTGTATTCCTCAGACTTATTCTATTCTAAATAAAGAGCTGAACTCACAGAATGGTCTTGCGTCTCACTCGACCCGATCCACTTCAGATCTAACACTGGCGACGAAGGTGGGATCGTGAGACAAAGGGACCACCCAGCATGTGGCGAGGCGGCACACAGCAGCAAGCAGAATGGCCGGCATCAACTCACCACCCGCACCCTTCAATCCCGCTACCGAGGACTGGGAATCCTATACCGATAGGTTCCAGATGTTCCTCGAGTGTAGCAACCTCAAGGATGCCAACGGCCACAAGAAACGGGCCGTGTTCCTCGCACATTGCGGACCGGCCGTATTCAAGATGGCCAAAGCTCTGGCCAAACCGGAGGACGTAAAGACCATGGAGTGGGGCAACCTCGGGCCCTTGCTACGAAACCACTACGCCCCCGTCATGCCCATCCTCATCCGGCGGCACAAATTCTACAGGCGGGACCAGCGCGAGGGCGAGGGGCTTGGCGACTTCATAGCGGCACTACGAGATCTGGGCGGCCTGTGCGAGTTCACCGACCTGGACGAGGCCCTGAGAGACCGCGTCGTCCTGGGACTCCGAGACCACATCCTCCAGAGCCGCATCATGGCGAAGGGCGACACCTCCCTCACCGATGCACTCACAGACATAGCCATGGCTGAAGTGGCCAAGAAATCAGCGGCTCGGATGCGGCAATCGAGCATCACACCACGAGCAGCAACAGGCGAGACGACACCGAACCCCGAAAAGCGACCCGAGGGCGACCACCGGGACGCAACCACGCACCACGGCGACATCGACTCCTTCTCGGGAACTGAGGACGAGGAGGAGGAAATCCACCGCCTGCAAGCAGCACGTGGGCGACAGGAAACCCAAGGTCGTAAGTCGAGGTTCCAGTGCACCGGCTGCGGAGGCGATCACCCCTGTTCGGACTGCTGGTTCCTCGATGCCATTTGCCGACAGTGCGAGAAACGGGGGCACATCGCCAAAGTGTGCCGAAATAAAAAACACTACAGCCCGCGGCAACGAGAAGGCAGCCCTCGCCGGCAAGAGAACACCCCCACCAGTTACCGAGACCGCCAGATGGAGAGCCACTGGAGCCAAGAGGGTTGGAACAGGCGGCTCAACGAGGCGAGGCAAAGGGAGGAAACACACCAGACCGGCGGCGGCGGCCATTCCTCCACAAGAGACGCCAGAAAGGTATACATGATGGTGGGGATAGAAGACCAACCATGCGACATGGAGGTGGACTCCGGGTCCTCCCTCTCCATGGTCTCATGGCATACCATCAGGTGCCTGGTTCCCTCCATCCGCCGCAAAGAATTGGAAGACCAAACACTAACCCTCAAAGACTACCAAGGGAATCGCATCCCTGTAGTTGGCAGAGGCCATTTCAAAGTCACATTCAAGAACCACACCGAAGTGCTACCCCTGACCATCGTCGACCGGGATCGGCCGAGCCTGCTGGGGCTACAGTGGTTCGCACCCCTAGGCATTGAAGTAACCGGAATCCACCGCACCACAGAGTCGGACTGGGAAGCGACGCTCGTGGAGGACTTCCAGGAAGTTTTCGACGACAGCCTAGGCAAGTACCGGGGGTCCCCTATCTCCTTCAATATAGACCCAAACATCGCACCAATTCGCCTTAAGCCCAGACGAGTGCCCTTTGCACTCAAGCCCAAGATAGATGAGCAGCTAGATAAGCTCATCGCGCAAGGGGTACTGGAGCCAATCGATCATGCCAGGTGGGAGACCCCCATAGTCACCCCTATCAAGCCAGACGGGTCTATAAGAATTTGTGGGGACTATAAGGCCACCCTCAACCACGCGCTCCAGCAAAGTGCATACCCCGTCCCAGTAGTGCAGCACCTTCTGCACTCGCTGGGGGGGTATCTTTGCCAAGCTCGACCTGGCGCAAGCCTACCAGCAACTGCCGGTCGACGCCGCAACCGCTGAAGCCCAGACCATCGTAACACACCGAGGGGCTTTCCGTTGCAACTGACTCCAGTTTGGAGTCAGCGTGGCACCCGGGGTCTTCCAAAGCCTCATGGAAAGACTCCTGCAGGGCATACAAGGGGTGGTGCCCTGTTTTGACGATGTCTTAGTGGCCGTGAGAAACGAGAAGCAACTAGAAGCCCGGTTGCAGGAGGTACTGAAGAAATTCAGAGACTCGGGGCTCAAAGTCAAGAAAGGGAAGTGCCAACTACGGGCTGAGAGGGTCGAATTCCTAGGGTACCTCCTAGACAAACATGGGATCCACCCCACAGAGAAGAAACTGAGAGCCATAAGGGAAGCGCCGCGACCCAAAAACAAAACGGAACTGCAGGCTTTCTTGGGACTGTTAAACTTTTATAATGTCTTCCTACCTCAAAAGGCGACCGTGGCGGAACCATTGCATAGGCTGTTAGATAAAACAGCCACCTGGACCTGGGGAGCACGGGAGGAGAGCGCTTTCAACAACACAAAGAACCTGCTAACATCTGACGCGGTACTAATCCAGTACAGCGAGACCCTGCCATTAACGGTAACGTGCGACGCATCGCCTTTTGGGATCGGCGCCATCCTCAGCCACCAGCTACCAGACGGGAGAGAAGCACCCATTGCCTTCTCATCAAGGACACTTTCAAAGCCGTAGCGGAACTACAGCCAGCTTGACAAGGAGGCCCTAGCAGTCGTCGCTGGCATCAAGAAATTCCACGAATACCTTTACGGTAGGACCTTTACAATCATCATGGACCACAAGCCGCTGCTAGGGATCCTGGCAGGAAATAAAGCCACACCGAACATTCTATCACCTACAATGACAAGGTGGTCTGAGTTCCTGTCAGCATACAACTACCATCTGACTCACCGACCCGGGAAGGACATCACCCACGCAGATGCCCTGAGCCGCTCACCTCTGCCCGACCTAGAAGACGACCCGGCACCCACAACAGAGGTATTTCAAATAGAGAAAATACCCAACCCACTAGTGACCGCGCCAGACATTGCCAGAGAAACAAATAAAGACAAGCGGCTGGCGCGAGTCCTAAGCTGGGTTGGAAAAGGGTGGCCGGAAGGGGACAGGGGCGAACTATTCAGACCCTTCCGAAATAGACAAACTGAACTCTCTACCGAAAAGGGCTGCATACTTTGGGGAGACAGAGTGGTAATCCTGGAAACCTTGCAAAAAAGGGTATTGGAGATGCTGCATGAGGGGCACCCAGGGATGGTTAAGATGAAAAGCCTGGCCAGAAGCTATGCATGGTGGCCAGGCATGGACAAACAGATCGAAACCTGGGTAGCCAAATGCAAAAAATGCCAAGAGTCCAGGCCCAGTCCTCCCGCCGCCCCAATACATGAATGGGAAACACCAAGGGGACCGTGGTCTCGGATCCACATAGACTTCGCGGGGCCAACCAAGGGACACATGTACCTCATCACAGTAGATGCTTATTCCAACTGGCTGGAGGTAAGCACCATGAAGTCAACCACAACGGAGGCGGTAATAAGGAAACTGGGCAAACTCTTTGCCACACACGGCCTGCCAGACATAATAGTGTCGGACAACGGGCCCCAGTTCACCGCACTAGCGTTTGAACAATTTCTGGCAGGCCAGGGCATACGCCATGCATTAACCGCACCGGCAAACCCGGCGGCGAATGGGAGGGCGGAACGCATGGTACAATACACCAAAAAAGCCATACAGAAAATAGAAACAGCCAACATACAGGATAAAATCAATAAAATGCTCCTCATCCAACATATCACACCGAGCGCAACCACAAATAGAAGCCCAGCAGAACTAATGATGGGCAGAAAACTACAATCAACATTGGATAGGATGCACCCCACATACACCCCTGACAAACCCCCGGGCTCTTCCAGCAAACACAGAGAATTTAACATAGGGAATGCAGTATACGCGAAAAACCTGTCAGGGGAACCACTCTGGGTACCAGCAACGATCACCCAAATAACTGGCCCCTTATCGTACCGGCTAGAGACAAGCGACGGGAAAAACTGGAAACGGCACATTAACCAGCTAAGGTCGAGAATAACCAACAACCAGACACCCGAGAAAGAAACTAAAAAAAGGGGGGGGAACGGCAAGCGTTAAAGAAAGAGGGACCCCCCTAGCGCAAGCCGAACACCCCCCACCCAGAATAAATAACCCGCCAATAATCCGGTCCTACTCACCAGCAAACATGGGGCCAACAGATCAGGCAACACCAGAATCGTCACCAGGAAGGAGCAGCCAGGCCAGTACAACCAGCCCGGAAAGAGCCAGCAGAGACGGCAGCTCAACCAGCCCGAGTAGACCGGGAGGGAGCTACCAAGAAAGGCCCAGCCCAACCTTCCAGGCGGTTCCATCCCTGGGAACCGGAGCGACAGAGAAGACCTCCGAACCGGTCGACAACCACAGGAGAACTGAACTGCGCAGGTCAACTAGGCAGGGACGAAGCCCCGCCTACCTGCGCGACTACGTCACGACGCACCGACAGACGAAACCAAGAGGGGAGGGGTGTACTGTATTAGCATACTCCAAACCCCCGAAACTGATTGGTCCCGACGGAGAGTGACCTGATTGGTCAAACCCTCGGCCGTGATTGGAGCGCTAAGAATCTACTGCGATTGGCTGTGCCGATCGTGGGAGATTCAAAGCGCTGCCATTGGCCGCCGAGCCGCGAGCCAGCCCTATATGAAGGGCTGCCGCGGCTTGTATTCCTCAGACTTATTCTATTCTAAATAAAGAGCTGAACTCACAGAATGGTCTCGCGTCTCACTCGACCCGATCCACTTTAGATCTAACAGAAAAAGCAGGAAACAAGAGGATTCTCAACGTTGTGAGCGCAAGCACTTGTCAGCTGTACAGGCGGCACAGATGATGATTTCTTGCAAATGCTGCACACACGATTGTCCCCAGTTCGGAGAACCACCTTTTCCATTTTTTTTCTGGACCATTAGCTGTTCTGCTCTACCAGGAGATTTAGATTAGCTAGGAAGGAGGAAATCCTTGGATTTCTTGCTTTCTAGCTAATCTAAAAGCAGAGACCAACCTTCTTTAGAACTGAAGCTTTTCAGTGCAGACTCAGGTAGCCAACTGCAGATAGATAGATCCCTAAGTTAATCTGTGATTCTGTGAACAACTCAATCTGCCTGCCTGCTTTGCCTGTTTTTGGGTAAAAGTTGCTCTTTTTTTTTAAAGAGCACATTTACATACATGGTGTGGTGTGAGTTAATTTTGTGAGTTTACTTGCTAGCAAATTTTATGTGACAGACTAAGATAGCCGATTGCAGATAGATAGATCTCTAAATTAATCTGTGATTCTGTGAGCAACTCAATCTGCCTCCCTGCTTTGCCTGCTTTTGGGTAAAAGTTGCTCTTTTTAATAAAAAAAATAAATATTTAATAAATATTTATAATATTTACATTGTCATTTTAGGTTGGTCTGTAGTCAAATTTTTTGTCAGCGCTAGCAATTCTGCAGCAACTGGAGAACTGGCCATTTCAGTGGACCCAAAACCGCCAGTTCGTGGGATCCCAATTAAAGGATTTATAGGAATGTATGGAAGCAATAATAACTGGGCAATAGAGTCACCGGCCATTAATGATGCAGGAGTATCAGTGTACAATTGTACCTTAATAACCCCTCTATAATCTTGATCAATAACTCCTGGAATAACAAAAAACCCTTTTTCTGATGCAGAAGACCTGGGAAGTACCAATCCCACTGTTTTTTCTGGCAGTGGCCCATGCAAATGAGTGTCCTCAATGTACACTTGATTAGGAAAGGTCACATCAATTGAGTTCAGCATTTTTAAACTCAAACCTGCACTCCCAGTAATTGCAGGCGATGCCTTTGTGACAGCCTTGGGAGCGGGGCTAGCTGCACGCCCCAAATTTAGTTTCCCGGATTTTGGTTCTGATCAGAGCGACATTGATTTGCCCAATGAAACCCTTTTTTGCATTTTGGACAGACCGATTTCGGGTGGATGTCCCTATTTTTGTTTTTGTTAAATGCCATCCCCCCCCCCCCCCAGGGGATCTGCACTGGGCTTTAAAATGGCCAGACTTCCCACAATTAAAACAATTCCCTGTAGGTTTCATCCCTTTTTGTAATTCCATAGCCAAAGTCTCCATGTTGTAAGCCTGAGAACCCACCACTGCACATGCCTTTAACAGATCAGCTAGAGTAACCTCACCTCTAGCCACCAAAGGCTGTAAGATACGCTTGCAGTCAGCGTTTGCATTTTCAACTGCCAATTTCAGCAAAAGTTCTTTTGCAGCTTCCTCATTAGAGATTTGCCTGGTAATAGCCAATTGTAGCCTTTCCACAAAATCGTTATAAGACTCAGATGCTGTTTGCTTAATTTGAGAAAAAGACCGTGCCGGGGTTCCCACATCCTGGATGCGGGACGCCCCAAGGACAGCTGTCATAACCACGGGAAATACGTGATCAGGCAAATTAGCAGCTTGATCAGCAGTGGATTCAAACAAGCCTGCCCCATAGATTTGGTCTGGCGTATACAGCCCCCCCCGAATTCCTTCCCCTAGTGACAGCTTCCCTTTGATATTCTGAATCAAAAACCACATACTGAGTAGAGCTCAATATCATTCTCATTAAATCTTTCCAGTCACTAGGAATCATGCGTGAGGTAGCCAAACTTGTCAGGAGCCCCTTTGTAAAAGGACTTTGAATACCATAATCTTTAACTGCTTTTTTAATTTCCCTAAGAACTGCTAAAGGAATCGGAACCCATTCAGTCTGCAGATTGCCTTGAGCATCCACTTGCCTATTGACTGGAAACAAATTCATCTGGGGAATCTCATCAGGCTCTAATTTCCCCTCATTGAAAGCCTGATGCATCGTTGCTTGAACTTTTCCCATTTTTGGTTGGATTTTATCATCCACTGAAGTAGGCGCTGTTGGGGGTGAGGAAACATACTCCAGTTTTGGGGTTGGTGGGTGCAACACAACTCCTTTATAAGGAGGAGGTTCTACTAAAGTTTTTAAAAGAGGTTGTTGCTGGGTCTCTAAAGCAGTCATAACAACCTTCCAATATATCAAAATTTCAGCTGTTGCCCGTGGCTCTTCATGAAGGATAGTTCCAATTCTCCTCCACGTGTCTAACTTTAAAGATCCCTTCTCTGAATACCAGGGACATTGCCGCCAGATCTCTTGCAGCAGCTGTTTCACATTACCTTTTGAAAGAACTATTTGCTCCACCCCAGAGGGTTTAAAGATTAAGAAGTTTGTCCTGACTAACTTCAGCAGCTCACTAACATGACGTTCCTGTGGCTGAGAAAGTTTTCCCCCCATGTTCCCTGAAAAATCCTATTGTCCAGCAATAGTTAAGTACGTACTTTACCTATTCCAGGCGAGGAAACACGGAGGTCCGGACACGTACCACCTGCAGTGGATCACGTCGGGGTCACCACTTGTGGTGGTCTCCCATGGAAAGAATGAGACACAAGCGTGTGTACTCGGGATGGGAGCCCAGAGTAAATTCCAGTGCTCTCTTTTATTGAGATTTTAGTACATAGTAAGCATAATCACAATGTGGATTACAATAATTAGATATAGTACACAGACTTGTTTACAGTTGTCTGAGCTGCTTAATTGTTTCTAGTGTTTGCTTTTAATTTCCTTGCTTTATCTCAGTGACCTTTCGGCAGACATGTATGTATAAGGTCTTAGACTAATCATTACCCAATACCCAAGTCAAAGTTTATTCCCACAGATTAGCACTTAGACTTATATACCGCTTCACAGTGCTTTTCAGCTCCTCTCTAAACAGTTTACAGAGACAACATATTGCCCCAAACAATCTGGGTCCTCATTATACTGATGAATTACTTTTAAAAACTTTTATATACCTTGAAGATGAGATTGACTTTTTATTTTATTTATTTTATTTTGTCAAGCAATTATAAGATAACAGGTATAAGTATAAACATAGTTATGAATACATGAAATGCCCCATTGCTTCTTGTGGACACCATCAACAGCAAGGTTGCTGTTCAGATGAACCAGTCAGCAGCTCTTGAAACTGGAAATGTTGCCCATCTCTGATGTAGGTCCTAACAATATGCAATAAGCTTTATTCAATAAACCAGGATGAAAATCTAACAAGGTTAAATGTTTTAAGCATAATATAGTTTAGTCATGCAAGTCAATTTCTCTTTTAAGCAAATATGTTTGAACAAATGGATTTTTATTAGGTAGGAGTAAATTCCATCAACATTAGCAGGTCTTACTTTTGAATAAATAAATAAATGTGGATTTGAACTATCAAGAGTGTCAGTGTGCTATCACATCTGAGTATTGAATTCAATTTACTTTTTTCTTTAGGATTCTCTCTTTTGTAACAATAAAACATCAAAAAAGAGATATCTCCAGCCAATCCTCCCTCTTATATTTCTTCTACATTTTGGGGATCCTTTGTTTGTTCATAATTTTTTGTCTACCTGAGAAGACCACTTATCCATCCATCACATCCATCAAATCCACATTCAATTCTTCCTTGACAAAACAACTTGTATCCCAGCGCATTGCCCCTAATTCTAGCTTGTCCTCTGAGGCTACTGAGGCTGGAATATGGACTGTGAACTCTATTGGGCGTTTTGGAAACCAGATGGGACAATATGCCACCCTTTATGCCTTAGCCAAGCTCAATAGATATCAAGCCTACATCCATCCAGAAATGCATTCAGCTCTATCACCAATCTTCAAGATCACTTTGCCTGTGCTCTCTGCTAAGGTGTTTAGCATGATCCAGTGGAAGAGAGTTTATTTGCATGATTGGATGTCAGAGGACTATCGTCACATCCAGGGGAAATATGTCCAATTGATGGGCTACCCTTGTTCTTACACCTTTTATCACCACATCCGCCAGGAAATACTAAAGGAGTTCACTTTCCATGACCACATCAAGGAAGAGGCCAATCACTACCTGCAAATCTTGCGGGGGAAACGCCAGAATGTGACATACGTTGGAGTGCATGTCCGGAGAGGGGATTATGTGAGGGTAATGCCCAAAACCTGGAAAGGTGTGGTGGCTGACAAAGGTTACTTGGAGAAAGCCATGGACTACTTCAGAAATAAATACCTCAATCCCATCTTTGTGGTCACCAGCAATGGGATGGAGTGGTGCAAGAAGAACATGGATGCCTCCAGGGGGGACGTTTACTTTGCTGGGGATGAGAAGGAAGGCTCTCCAGGAAGGGATTTCGCTCTCCTTGCTCATTGCAACCACACAATCATGACCATTGGGACTTTTGGTATCTGGGCTGCTTACCTAGCAGGTGGGAAGGTTGTTTATTTAGCCAATTATACCCTCCCAGACTCTCCATTTCTCAAGGTCTTCAAGCCCTCCGCAGCCTTCTTACCTGAGTGGATTGCAATCCCAGCTGATCTTTCCCCGTTGATGCCCAAATCATCTGTACAATCCTAAAACCCATAAGTATCTGTCCGCCCATAAGGTCGGGTAGACCGGGCATGCGCCAGATCCTTTCCTGGCATATCGCCACTTCAAGGTATCTAGGAAGCTGCTTTTCCATGGTGGCTCCTACCTTATAGCTTTTTGAGGGGTATTGTTGTGAGCCACCCAGAGTTGTTCTGTGAGATACCAAGGCATACAAATTGATCAGATAATTAAACTGGAGAAACTGGATTGAACTCATGTTTAATGAGATACTACTAAAAAGATGTACAGGTAGCCCTCAGATTATGACCAGACACTTAGCAACCAGTTGAAGTGAAGACAGATCTCTCCAGGGCTATTTACAACTCAGTTACAAAGTTATGACGGGTGCCACACACCCCTTCTCCGTTCCCACAATCATGTGAACCGCATGTCAGGGGCACAGCAACCATTCTGCATTTAAAGCGGTTTGCAGCATCCCTTGATCACATGACTATGTTTTACAACATTTTTGCAAAAAAATCAGCATTTACTTCCAGTTTTTGGCAAAACTGACCCATAGTAAACAATGGAGGTCACTTTACAAAAGTGTCATTTACTTTATGACTGTGGTGTTTGCTTTGCAATTGTGACATTCACTTTATGACTGCGATGGTAGCTGTACAACCATCACAAAAAAAGATCATAAAATCACTGGGTCATATGGATAACTCAATTTACAACCATCACAATTTATGATAGCTGTTGGAATACATGCTAGAACAGTGGTCACCAACCAATGGGCTGGGGACCACTGGTGGTCTGTGAGAAAATTTTGGTGGTCCACAGAGAAATGTCATCCCCAAAGCATCCACCAAAGCAATTAATCCATGCTGTGTGGGAACACAAGGCTGTGCCGCCCACATAGCCCATGGGCATACAACGCTTGCATTGCAAACAACACGAGGTAGTGAGAGGAGGGGGGAAAGGGTGGCACCAGGCTGCTTCTTTCTTCTGCTTTTGGCTGCACGCAAGGAAAGCAGCAAAAGTCTTTCTTTCTCTCCCCCAAACTCCGCCAGAAATGAGTCTTTGGGATCCTGCAAGACATCCTGCTCCAAGAGGCTGCGCCAGAGTGACAAGTCTCACAAAGACTCATTTCTGGTGGAGTTTGGGAGAGAGAAAGAAAGATTTCTGCTGCTTTCCTTGCATGAAGCCAAAAGTCTCTCCACCCCCCAGAATGGAGCTGGAGACCGTATCCTGCGATCCCAAATAAAGAATGATCGATTGGTAGGAAAACGGGGTGAGAAATTTTCCTGCAGAGTTTTTGGGGGATTTTCCCAGGGTCCACAGGATTTAAAATTATGAGTTCGGTGGTCCCTGAGGTCCAAAAGGTTGGCAACCCCTGTGCTAGAATGTATTTTGTATTGCAACAACTACAGAATCATTCGGCCAGTAGATGGCAGTGTTTAGTTTGCATCTATGGTTATAACCTATGGTTCTGTTTGTTCTGAGGAGAGTTTCCTATGACATTTAAACCCATTAAGCAGCAAAGCCCATGATAACTTTACACATACATTTTATTTGATCTGTATGTAACCATGTAACCATATGTAATCTATGTAATCATTCTCTGCTACCAATCTATATGGCTATATAATAATCCTCCACTATCATTTTTATATAATAAAACAGATTTTCTAACGATAGTAATGGGTCACTCTGAATTCAATGTATATGAAAACTTCCTATTTAAATTCTTTATGATTATTTCAAGCAAATGCCTACACTGTTTCATAAAAATCTCTGCCCAGATCATCCATTATGATTTGTACTGCTGTACAGTATATAAATTACTATTCCTTGTTGAAAAGTGAAGATTTAATTTTCTATTATCTTATCTCCTGACTTTGATGGTTATTCATTGAAATAAAAGGTTTCAGAATTCATTTGATCTCTGGACTCAGCTTTCTTCGTCCCACTGAATTATCAAAGATTGGTGATCTCATTTATTTGGAGATTAGTTTCACTAAATGCTTCAAAATATATAGATAACATAGGCAATAGTTTTGACCTTCTCACTCATAAAAAGTTTACGTTATATGATAGAATTTTAAAATAGCAGCTAAATTCAATTTCTTCTTCTTAAATCAAGCCTCACACAGCTGTTATTTGGAACAAGTAAATAGGATTAGTGTGGTGGTCTCCCATGGAAAGAATGAGACACAAGTGTGTGTACTCGGGATGGGAGCCCAGAGTAAATTCCAGTGCTCCCTTTTATTGAGATTTTAGTACATAGTAAGCATAATCACAATGTGGATTACAATAATTAGATATAGTACACAGACTTGTTTACAGTTGTCTGAGCTGCTTAATTGTTTCTAGTGTTTGCTTTTAATTTCCTTGCTTTATCTCAGTGACCTTTAGGCAGACATGTATGTATAAGGTCTTAGACTAATCATTACCCAATACCCAAGTCAAAGTTTATTCCCACATCTCCCCTGTTTTAGTTTTTTGATGATCACGGATGCCTCGGTAGCTTTTCGCCATCTGCAACAGCAATTCTCCTTCCGTAGGCTTCACCTGACACATTCCTAAAAGTCCAGGGAGACATTGGATAATACAGCATGCACAAAGAGAAAGTATAAAAAGCAATATCATTCCAACAATTAGGTGATGAATCCATGAACCATCTGGCAACCACGACCAAAGTGCAGACCACACGTCCAGTCCCTCGTCCTCCGATTGTAATGGATTCTCATTCAGGGTTTGTTCCATATGCTGTATAGTAGCTGTAATGTTTGGAGAATAATCAGAGATATACATGCAACAATGCGTATGAATCACAGCGCAAACTCCCCCTTGCACAGCCAAAATAGTGTCCACCGCATATCTGGTTTGCAGGACAAAGTCAAGAATTTTGCCTTGCTCTTATTCAAGCAGCCTTAGTGTTTTAATGGTGTCTTTAAACATAGTAACTGTCCAATTGTTTAAACGATGTAAATCTCTATAGTTCATCATGACTCCTAAAGGAGGAATAACTCCCCTTGATATTTGTGTCCAGTAGTCATGAGTCAAAATAGAGTTTACTTCCGTTGCAGAACGCGCATTGCGGATATGAGCAGTCCCCAAAGATTTTTGAATGAAATGAGATGGGATTACTTTCCCAAAGGTGCAGACCCCTTCCATCATGCTGGCATGCGATCATAGGCCATCTGTCCACACAGCAACCATAAATTTGCTCCCAGGAGATGACCAACCTTATTTGGCTCAGCATAGATTAATTTTGCAAAGGATTCCATTAACATAGCCAAATAAGTGGACGATGGTGCGTATTTCCCATCCGCACATTTAGGCAACTGGTTTTCTGCTGGCTTGGTGGGACAACATGTGGCAGGAATATATGGACACCTATTTTCATTGATCAAAGATGTGATATCATATCGAGAAATGTTATGTACAAAGTAAGTGAGATTTTTAGTTTTCATGTCATTCGAATAAACCCGACTTCCATTGCTAATAACAATTGTTTTGTTGCAAAACGGATATGTCCCCAAGTAAGTCATATTCTCTACCGTCTCATTGTGGGTCCAACAGATACCCGCCACCTCTTGGATCTGACTTCCAAGGTGTAAGGTAGTTATGTTACTTGTAGTCCAACTGCTGGACCACGTCCCTGAACAACCATAGCATTGTCCCTTATACCAGTCACCTTCGGCCAGAGGTACTGTAACCATTGGAAGCCCTGATGTTTTGTGAGTTGGCATGTGCATACATATCCAACAATCAGTTTTATTATGAAGGTTTGCTAGCTTCCCCATGTCCTGGATCAACGTGTTTCTTTTCCATTCCCCCAAATCCATCCCCTTGCCCCTTTGGCTGATGATAAGGACGCACACAGCGAGCAGGAACCCAAACAACTGTCCCCTCATCTTCAACAGCAGCGTATCCTCGGCCCCAAGTTATCAGCGGGACAGGTCCTCTCCACATTGGATCTGGTAGTCTCCTATACCGAACTTTCGGTCTTGGCGTACCTGCAGAAGGGGAGGAAGCAAAATGCCTACTGGCTGCCGTAGCAGCAGGAGATCCTGTCATGTTTAAAAAATTTAAAGTGTATAAGGTAATATTAAGAATGTTTTGTATGTAAGGCAAGCCATATCCATCCACTTCCCCCGTTTTTGTTTTTATGTGAAGGAGTGTTATACAGACTGGAAGTTGGCTCAATGTGTCCTAATTGTAGCTGCTCAGCTACCAATTGATGTAAAGCTATAAGCTTTTCCTTTGGAAGTGGCCATTGGTCAATCCAAACTGGCTGAGAGGTTAACAATTGTAATTTTTCCATTATCCAATAACAATTTTTGTGCGGAACTGTGACAGTAAATCTCTACCCCACAAGTTTATATGCAGGGGCAACACAAGAGGTTGAATCCTTGCAGTCTCGCCAGTTTCTCTATGCAATGCCTTCAACCAATGTACACTACTTCTTGCAAACTGCATACCACCCACCCCACGAACAGCCGGAGAGTCCTCAAGCGCCCATTCATTTGGCCATTCCTTTTGGCGTATCACAGAGACATCTGCTCGGAGCACGCCGGCGTCTTTCCCTCTCTCTCTATGTATGAAAGAGCTCGCCTCGCTCGGAGCGTTTGGCGAAGCACACGAGTTTCGCAGTCGGAGAGGGAGGAGGCGGCAGCGAAAAGGACGCGGCGGCAACGGCAGGATGCTGCAAATCAGGACCTTGCATTGAAGCAGCCCGGGGGGCACGTAGCCACCCCCCTCCAGCCCACCTTGAGGATTTGCCTTTTGTTGTTGGTATATTTGGCTTCAGGCGCTCCTGTGGCCGCCTTCCCTTTGCCTTCAAAGGCAAAGTGAATTATTTTAAAAACCTCCGCTCATCCCGCCAGGGCCGCGGCAGAGCCGTACGGGCTGGGCAGAACCAGGAAACACCCGCGGCTTGCTTTCCCGGCTCTGCTCAGCTCGCACGGCCCTGATAGGATGAGCGGAGGTTTTTAAAATAATTCACTTTACCATCGAAGGCAAAGGGAAGGCGGCCACAGGAGCGCCTGAAGCCAAGTGTCTCCTCAGGGCTCCGGTTGCAGGGAGGAGCCCTGACTGGCTGCACATGGCTGCGCCAAACGCCGCGGCGTTGCTGTAACGCTACGGCAGCAAGGGGGAAGGGAAATTAACGGTGGCGGAAGGTCTCCCGAACATCCAAGCTGTCGCCGCCCACCCACCCGAGGATGCAAGGGGGGGGGAAATTAAGTCACCCCCGAAAAGACGGCCTAGCCGGTTTTTCGGGGGTCAAAAAAAAATAAGGCCTGGCCTTATTATGTGAGAAACACGGTATTGTGTGCTCTTGTGTTGTTATGGTTGAAGCTGGAGTATTCATTTGCAGGTAGGACATTGCAATGTATGATTTTATGTACTATACTGAGATCGGACCGAAGGCGGCGTAGTTCTAGATTATCTAGGTCTAGAATTTCAAGACAGTATTCTGCAATGAGTAGAGGAGTGAAGAACT